ATATTTCAAGCTACTTGAAATCAGAGACAGGAAAATCACTTGAGCTCAGAAGTTCAGAACTAGCCTGAGCAACAGAGTGAGACCCTGTCTTAAAAAACTTTTGTAAGCAAATATTTGTGAGTATGTATATGCATCTCTTTAGACTATGACTCATTTTAATTTACTTTGTCATGATTTATAATGCAAATAGGTAATATCCAAATCGTATTAGGCACATATGATACGTAAAAAAAGCAGTTATAAGGAAATAATATACTCAGTGCTCTGGTAAACACAACATGCAATTAAAAAATACAAGGAATGTTGAAATTTAAATTTTTATTACAGTAAAAGATGCATTCCCATGAATTCCCCTCAAAATTCTCTCCCTCACTTTTGAACACACTTATCCCATTGTTCTTGCCTCTGTGTGAAGTGGTTCTGGAAGTTCTTTTTCCTGAGTGTCCTTAGTTGTGCTTTCTTGGAGGCCTGAGTGTCCTGCATCTACTTAAAATGTTTACCGTTCATGATCATTTTGACTTTGGAGCAGAGCCAGGAGTCACACGGTGCCAGGCCCGGTGAATAAAATGCGTAAGGACACACAGCTGTGTTTTTCAAATGCCTGGGAATATCTTGAGGGGCACTGGTGGCAGTGTTCTTTACTGTAACAAATTTTAAAAATTTGAATATGCATTTATGTTTCCATCACCCCTGGGTGTGGGTTGGAATTAAGAATGCACCCCTCTCCAGCAACACGGGCTCAGGCGGAGCTGTCCTGCCTGTGGAGTCAAAGGCAACACAGTGCTTGAAGCAGGCTCTGGAATCTTCTCATCCTGACCTCTATGAACCTTCCTTGCACAAATTAATTCATTCAATGAAATTATAAGTCTTGCTGGCCTGGGAGTCATTTAGTGTCCTGAAGATAATTTTGCATTTCTCTACAGGCTTCATGAAGTATTTGAAATTTTTAAATGACTTCCATTTTTAAAAGTTTAACTCCCTGAAAATAATCTTTTTCTCCTTATTTCCAAATATTGGGTGTGAAAAGTATGCTTCACTGTAATTTCCTTGCATTTCAACAAATTGCACTAAATGAATGCAATTTACCTCACGGTTTACCTCCACCCTAATACCGATTGAAATTTCCGCCTCAATAGTTTCTTGCTTGCCACTGCTACAAGGGAGAGATTCCTAAGCTTCATATCTCATAAAAACACTCATAAAAGAGGAGGACTTGGGAAAATGTGCCTTTTACAGTAATAAATGTTTTATTATAATAAAAAATTTAATTTAAACATTCATCATGTGTTTTGAAAACCCCTGGTATTTAATACCTGGCTTTAAACAGAGCAGACTGGAATTCCTATGGTAGAATTTGCAGATTTCCATGGAATAAATACTACATTTTAAGCTACTAATAGAGTTTAATAAGGAATCACTATATAGGGAATTGGAGAAAGAAGTGCAGTTGCACAGCATTAGATAGGATTTCCATAATGGATACAACAAATAAAATTTGAAGAGTATAGATAATATTGAACTGTAGTAAAATCATCAGAAAGTGGTGAATTTTGTGTATATATTTTTATAAGTAGGGAAGAATCACTAATATGATATTATCATATCTAAACTCATGAATTATACTTACTTCACTCTTTAGACCCTTATTTGTCATTTCAGCATTTAAAAACAAAAAAGCTATGTTGTCTTTATAATCAGACACCAGGAAGATTATAATTCATTAGTGTGAGCAATGTTTGGGTCAAACTAAACCATGATATCTTTGTTTGATCATGGTATAAGGAAATGAACACAAATGTCTCTAAGTCCTTTCAAAATAGATGTAGATAGTATCAGAACTCAAAGGGGTTTGAGTTCATCACATGCTTTACAACTAAAAGAATGGGATGTCAAATAGGTGTTTTCTCAAAGTGAGTGCCACAGGGCGGGTGGTACAAGGAAACTCAGTACCTGTCCGTAGAGTCCCTATAGAAAACAAATGAATATATGTTCTCTAATCATTACCTAATTAAAAGAGATGATCTCATCTTACGTGTGCTTGAACTCATTTATTTCCTTAATTGGGGAGGCCCTGACTCCACCCACCTTTGTTTAGACAAGAGCAGCTCACACTCTGAAATTATTAATTTCTCAAAATACTTCCCTGTAGATGTTCTCAACTAATCCTCCTTAGAGCCCTCTGAGACAGACAGGGTCACAAGAACCACTCCTATTTTACAGGTAATAAAACTGAGGCTAAAGCAGGCCAGTGACCTGCCTGAGACCCCCAAAGGCCCAGCCTCTGCTGGGCCGCAGTGCTCTCTGAGGATCTCCTGTTGGAGCCTGTAGGAAGAAGCAATCAGATGAACCTTTCGTGAGGTCACTTTCTCCCCCTCCCGTCCTTGTCCTAACAACAAATTCTTTCTTCCTTTCATTCCTGCTTCATTTTTCACTGAGCAACATGAACTGTCACCTAGCATAGTTCTTTTGTTCTCGTTCTCTTTATTGTAGAATAGCAAATTACCCCACTGTCCCTGGGCCACTAAGTATTCCTGTTCTTTCTTAGCATCAGAACTGAACTCCAGAATGCTGCTTTCTCTTGAAATCAGATGACATTTCTATCACTAGAGAAATCACTTTTGCAAATCTCCAAACAGGGTGTTTATAAGGTAAGAAACTGCAAACACGGGTGTGACATATTTCTACATGATTTTGGCTTCCTAAAAGGGATTATCCTGGAAGTCAGAGGGGTCAGACTGATTCAGGAAACGCAAGTCATGCGTTACAGAACATGTCCTGCATTAGGAATATCAGATGTCGTCCGTGGCTGTTTTATTAAGAGAGGGAATGGGTTCTAGTAAGAATCCAATGTACCCCAGAAGAACTTAGGTACCGATGGATTATGCCCAAGTCCAGACACACAGAGCTACCAAGGGAAACTAACCAACGATGTAGTACTGTAACTCCTGGATGTATTGGCTGTTTCAAATTCCCTGGGCATCTCTTTCCTTTTTTTTTTTTTTTTTTTTTTTTTTTTTTTTTTGTATCTTGGATCAAACTCATGACCTCGCAGGCGCTTATACCACTGAACTAAATCCCTGGCTATTTCCCATCTTTAAAATGAGAATCACAGCACCTACTTGACATTTTTTGATATAAAAATGTGTGGAACATATGTATGTCATCTTGCTAATTTTTGAAGTTTACTGCTTAGATGAGGGAAAGAGGGATGAGTGAAAAAAGGATACAACATCAGATATGGCATCAACAAGTGGCCAGATCTCGGCCAGCAGAACAGGATGGGGACCTATGAACACACAGTAATGCCACACCTTCACTGAGCCACCGGTCACCTTTTTGCCAGCAGCAAGCCCAGTGTCTTCCCTGCAGCGTTCCAGCCCCAGCTGCGCCCCCAGATGCGCACAAAACTAGGTTGACACCCTGTGTTGTTCCTGGTGCTGTGGAGAAAACGGCTTTGTCGGGAACCTTTCTTTAGGCAAGAGAAGAGGCAATAATTTCTCTAGAACCAGGAATATTTTATGGAACGGAGATGAACTCAGGGATGATTCTTAATAATGCTTCCCAGACAAATTGCCAAAGAACAGAAATGAGTAGATGGGAAAAGAATGTGTTTGTAAATGAGAGAGGGGAACAAAACACACCATCATAGGAGAAGGAACCCCCGCCGTCTGGTGCGAGTGTTCGAGATGTGAATAGAATTTTCAACTTGGTATCAAGAGTAATGGAGTATACTTCTCTTCAGAAAAATGAGACTTTCTCCAACATGAGACCAGAAAGTCATTTCTGGAGATATATGTGTAGGGGAGAGAAGAAACTGTCACTTGACAATCAAGCCCCAAAGAAGTCAGGACATGGTTAAGAAAGCTATCTGAGTTACAGTGCCTTGTATTTCTTTATAATTTTTTTCAGCTTTGATAGATGAAACTATTCTTGAAGATCTAAAAAAAATGTTGTTGCTATAGGAACAGGTAAGCAGATTAAACTTGAAAGACCAGTTTTAGAACAAAGAATTTAATAGGCAGGGCTCAAGCAATTAACCGAGAAAACATTTTAAGTAAATATCTTTTGGGTTTGCTATTTGTATATTAATTCCAGAGAGATAAAAAATGCTATTATAAAATGAAAGCATCACTTCTTAACATTTTAATTACATCATTACCAGCATAAAAGATTATGCTTACACAATTAGCCGAAAGACCTTATTAAAAGAAGTGCACATTTCTGACTCTCTCTTGATTACATTGTAATTGAGAAATATAACTTTAAATTCACCAAGAACATAAGAGTCATCTTTGATTTCCTTACACTTTCCAAGATGAGTACACATTTAAAATAAAAGACAAAACAAACTCCAGAAAGTTTGCTGTAACCAAACTATGTAACGAGGGGGCTACAAGTAAAACTCAAGAAGTAAAAAGGACTATGTGTAGGCTGATAATTGTTAATATTCTATATGCCTTCCCTGTCCAGCAGTCTTGGCAGACAAGACATGGTAGGCGAGGAGAAGGTCAAAGATCCAGCCCCTGCTGTGTCCCTACTGATGTTTTCTTCTTTCTATCAGGGAGCCCTGCTCCGCACATTCGGGACCGCTGAGCATGACTGCAAGCCTCGCACAAACCTGCTGCACTGACAAGGCTCAGAAAGGAATTATCACGTGGCACGGGGCTTCTCTCCCTGTTGGTTTTATTGAAACAGAAATCATTCTTGATAAAAATGAATACAATATGTTCATTCTCACAAATGTCTGCTGTCAGAGGTTGCGTTTGTGGGACAGAAAGATTTCTTGGACGTTAACCCCTTATCTCATGACATCCCAGAGCCAGAGTATAGAGAAATGTGTGTGTGTGTGTGTGTGTGTGTGTGTGTGTGTGTGTGTGTGTATCAGTGAGCCTATGTGTGTGTGTGTGTGTGTGTCTGTCTGTCTGTCTGTCTGTCTCTGTCGGTCGGTCTGTCTGTCGTCGAGAGGGAGTGGAAAGAGGGGAATGGAGTTGGAATCTTACCATCTCATTTTCTTGTCCTTCATTGAGCACCGCCTTCTGCTCCTTCCCACAGTTGTCCCCCATGAAAAAGTGATGCCACTCTTCCTCCCTGACCCTCCTGAGCAGACACTTCTAGGACGAACTTGCACAGCCACCGTGACTGCTGTGCCCAACTGGCTAAAAGGGTTAATGATCCTCCAGGTTACATTCCTTCCTGAGCACACACCTTCTCTCAGCAAATGACAATACTTAGCAGACTAAACTCCTCCCACGAGTCACCCCGGCTAGGAGGAATTTCTGGCTGTTCCTTGCTTACCACACTCGCAGAGCAGCTGCCTCAAAGGAGGCTGCTCCCATGCCAATCTTTTTGTGGCCAACTTACAGCGAGAGCACTCACTGCCTGCCCAGTGTCTGCCAGCCTCAGACATCTGACTGCAAATCCAGCAGGACAATGCAGAGTTGGCAGAACCCTTCCGAGGAGCCAGTGCAAGAACTCCCAGGTCGCTGCTTTATTCCCAGGAGCTGTGGAACTGGGGCATGGGGGAGACTAGCAGAGCTGCAGATTTAATTTGCTTCATGAAAGCCCAAGCCCATAGGTTTTTAATAGTTCCCTCATTCATTGTGTTTGCACAGGTACAAATTACTCCTAATCCTCTTCCAAAGATACTTGTAATCGCATTTCTTTGTGCACACAGAAAACGTTCTACCTAACATGTACTTGGGATTTAGTTGACTTTTTTGGAGTGCATGGGAAAAGTAGAGGTATAAGCAAGCTAGTCTACGTAGTCCTCTTTCTTTCAAATGTTGATCATTAAACCTCTTAAAGGTTTTTAGAAATAAAGTGTCCAAATGACTGCACAAAAAGACTAACTTTTAGATGTATTCCCAAATTATTCAGTGAAAATCGAGCACAGCGACCACATGAATAAGCCAAGTTGTATTTACCACCTTTGAGGGAGTCTAACATATAACCGTATGACAGATGGCGGTTTTTGTTCTTAGAGCTGAAGTATAGATCTAAGATAATGCCAGAAGTCCTGATATGGTATAGGGAAGCACAGAACAACATTGGCTCTTGAATAAACCTGGATTTCAGCTACTCCACTGTGCTGGTCTTGGTGTGATCATTTAAAAACAGGATTCGGTGCTCGTAACCTGGTAACACCTGGCAGCGAAGTGGAGGGAATGGAATGAGAGGCTTGTGAGGGCTGAGCAAGGGAGACCGTGAGACTGTATGTGCAGTCTAACAGCAGGTGGTAAAGTGGTTAAGGCTGAGATGTGCTCTGAATTTGGAGAGCTTAGGTTCACATTTGACCTTTATTAGCCAGGAGCTATGCCATGTTGAGCTCTAGCTAAGTTACACGAACTCCATACACCTCTGCTTCATCATGCATAAAATAAGGGCCAAGATAATAACTTTCCTCCTGAAACTGCGTTTTGAGGTCCAGTGCTTGGGAAATAGCAATTGTTCAGTGACCAAGACTTATTTTACTTTTAGTCTCTACTTGTTATCCTTCAAGCTAAGAATGAATATTGGCCCCAATATCTGCAACCTGACACAAGTACGCACATGCGTGTATACATGTGTGTTTAAAATCTTGAGCAAATGGTAAGATGAGTAAGATAAACACACAAATTGTAAGCTAAGCAAACTCATTGTGGTATGTTAGTATAATGCATATATTTCTATGAGTTTACAAAAATTCAAGCACAATTTAACCAAATAATAAAAATAACAATAACATTTATCCCAAGGTCAAGACTGGAGGAACATGACATTTCTTTTTACGGGGAAAGGGATGATGATCTGGGATTAGTAGTAGCTTTTGCAACTTTGTGAATATAATAGAAGTCACTGAATTGAAAACCTTAAAATAGTGGATTTTGTGGAACGAAGATATGTATTTTTAAAGGAAAATTATGCCTCAAAAAAGTAAATGAGGGCACCCCACCATGACTCTCTCTCTCTCTCTCTCTCTCTCTCTCTCTCTCTCTCTCTCTCTCAGACAGACGCTTTCTTTCAATAAATATTTTTACTCTTAAAAAATTAAATGAATATTTTATACCCATTTAGTATATTTAGCAGGGTAAAAATACAACGGGCTGATTTTAAAACTTCATCTCTTGCGTGGGGCATGGTGGCACATGCCTGTAATCCCGGCACTCGGGAACCCAGGAAGAAAGGTTGGAGGCCAGCCTGGGCTACAAAGTGGGTTCAAGGCCAGCCTGAACTGCATAGCGAGACCTTGTTTCAAAAAGATAAATAAATAAAATAAGCTAAAGTAGCTTCATCTCGACTTCCGCGCGTTAGTATGCGAAGAGGCAAAGTTACACCAGTGCGGGTGAGCGGCAGGACAGCATTCTCCTCTCCACAGTCGCCTTCTGGCTGGGATCCCGAGTTCACTTGGCAACACAAGCGCCACTGTGAGCTACGGCCAGCTCGCAGGACCTGAAGGAGACACTGCACACGAGCTCTCCCCAGCCAAGGAGTCAGATGCTGTAACAGTATCTTTTTCTCTTTTTCCTTTCTCGAGTCCACGTTTGCAGCACGTAATGCTAACGTTCCATGTGTGGAGTACGTCACACTTGCTCAGTCCCTCAGTCCTCCCCTTTGTCCCCTCTCCCTCCTCCCTCCTGCCATCCCTGGGTCCTCTGCCCGTTTGAGAAAGACTACCTCCCTATTCCTTATTATCTTTTATTTTGCTCGCCCTTTATAATTAACATTTCTCATATATGAGAAACCATGCAATACTTAAGTTTATGTGACTGATTCCTTTGGCTCTACATTATGGTCTCAAGAAATCAAATGTAACCAGTGGTACCCAGGGGCATGAGGGGAGGGGAGGAGAGCTACTGCACTGTTGGTGGGGATGTAAATTGGTACAATCTCTGTGGAAATTGATATGGAGAGTCCCCAAAATATGCAAGCTAGAAATTCCATTTGACCGAGCTATTTCCCCTCTAGACATCTTCTTTTTTTTAAATTTTATTTAAGGAGAAAAAGGAAAAAAAAAAACAGAAAAAGGGTACAAGTTATACAGAATTTCAGAAAAAATAAACAGTAGGAAATCACTAGTTAATAGATTACATATTGTCATCTTAGAAATAGTTGTTCAAGTTACAAAATTAAAGCACATAAAGTGGACAGACAGTGAGACTTCGAACAGTTCTGTTCAATGATCCAACAAAACTCAGTAATATGGTTATCTGTCTTATACACCTAAATAGACATGCAGTTATATCCTTTAGAGCACTTTCTTTTCCTCTATTTTTTACAATAACAATTACACATTTTGGGTTTTATTACTCCCACAGTTCTTATTACTTTTTTTGAAGAGAATAAAACCAAATGTGACATAACCAAACAGAGTCAGTCAAATCAAAAGGACGGACATACCGGGAAAACATGGCGGACAGATAACAGCAACTACCGGAGGCTCTCTGAAAGACTCGGCTCAGAAGCCAGGAATGGTGCGGACTAAGGAGACATAAGCAGGTGGAGATATGCTCCGCTGACTCAGGAACGAACTGGGCTGAGAGAAACCAACTTGGAATGCATTCCTGGTGCTAAAACAGGAACAGAAAAGCCTCGGTGTGGAGCTGGACCCCGCGCCATTGTAAGCCGCGATTTGGGTTTCCCGCCGCACGGCGGCTGGCTGCCTCTACAGTGGCTCGGCAAGGAGAGAGACGCGCAGAAGCTCTGAGAACAGAAATCTGCGAACGGCAGGGAGGCGTGCACTGACTTGTGGTGAGGTGAGTGAGAGAAGCTGACACTCTACCACAGTTTGACTCCAGCGGAGGACTTTCTGGGTCCGAGCAGTCCTGCGGGAGCGGGGCGCGGTGGCGACTCCAGCCACACATCCCCCTCTCGGGTGGGATTGGTGAAAAGTGCCTGGCCTGCGTGACGCTGCCGGCGGACCTGGTAGACTGTCCCAACCCAGATCCCAGAGCCTGACGGTGGCCGGGAGGGGAGACGCGTAGGCTGCCTGGTCCGTAACTCCCTGGTGCGCAGCAGTGAGCGGGAACACCTAACTGGCGCAATTCGATCAGGCTGTGGCTGACTGGGAGAGAAGCTGGGCCTCTCATATAAGCTTGCATATATAAGGAACAGAGAAGAAGAGGCAGCATGGGAAGAGGCAGCAACAAGAAAGGCTCCTCGGCCCCCAATTCTGAGAAACAGGCAATAGCAGACACCGCACCAATATACATAAGGCACCATATAGAGAGCCTCATAGACCAATTCAGGAATGAAGTTATCAACGACCTGAAGCTAGAAGTATGCAAAATAGTTAGAGAAATGCTAAGTACCACCCAAGAAAAAACAGGCGGTGGAATGGAAGAACAGAAAAAAAGGGGAGAATTGTTTGATGGAGAAAACAGAGAAAGCATAGAATACGTGAAACAGGTTCAAAGGGACTACCAAGATACTAAGAAGTCTATAGAAGACTGGCATAACAGCTTGAAAGAAACTAAGGACAGACTATCTGAACTGGAGGGCAGACTTGTAATATGGGAGAATGAAATGAAAAACTTCTTAAAAATAACAAAAAAACAAACAGCAATAATACAAAGACAAGAAGATAATAAGAGGATCCATAACTTAAGGATTAAGAACATAAAAGAAGAAGTAGGGACACAAACGAGTGAACTACAAAAGCTACTCACAGAAATAATCCAGGAGAATTTTCCTAATTTAGCAAAAGGTAAAGATACTCAGATGTATGAGGCATACAGGACCCCAGCTACCTACAACCCAAACAGAGCAACACCCAGGCATATAATAATAAAAATTCCAGAAATTCAATACAAGAACAGAATATTAAAAGCTGTAAGAGACAAGAAACAGACCACTTACAAGGGAACACCCATCAGAATTACAGCAGATTTCTCGGCACAAACCATCAAATCACGAAGAGCGTGGGGGGAAATAATTCAAGCTTTGAAAGATAATAATCTCCAGCCAAGATTGAGATATCCTGCACAACTGTCCCTGGAAATTGATGGAAAAACAAGGTGCTTCCAGGATAAAGAGGAACTGGGGGAATTTGCAACCACCAATTCAACTCTACAGAGAGTATTGCAGGATATTCTAAAAAAAGAAAAATACAAAGAATCCAGAAATAATGGCAGAGAGGCCACAACGAATGGAGCAGAGAACAAAATGAAGAAGACAAACTGACAGCTACTGACAGAAAAAGAGCTCAACAGAAATGAGGCAGAGAAGATTGGATGATAGGAACAGCTATTTTGGAGAAAATGACATCTTAATAGGTAATACTGATTTAGTATCATCTTGTTTTGAAGTCTCATCTAGCTTTTGTCCTTCTGTCTCTAATGGTCTAAATAGG